CACATATCTCAAAATGTTAATTTGAGACTTATTCCTGATTTCGATCAGATGGGTGACTAGTCTCTGCATGCGCTCCGAGCACTCCGTCGTCCAATTCTTCAAGTGTCTTATTCTAAGTTGATTATCATAATATATCTGAAATAATTATCACTCCACGGCTATCACTGGAACAAAAACTGTTATTCCCAGACTGAGCCCTTGATTTCCATACAGTTAGTGATGTATTACTACTCCATTGTACACTTGTAACAAGCCAATGCAATGTGCTCTACGTGGTTTGTGTGTTTCTGCGACCGGGACTATTCCAAAATACCTGAAAATTATCAGAGTGGTAACGTGCTACATGGGAATGTTGATTGTAAATAAGACCTTTAGAGACCTTTTGGAACTCTGAGAATTTGAAAAGAAGAAAAATATACATTAGTAAAAAATTCAGCATATTTTCTGGCACTGGTTAAGCATGAAATTAACAATTTTGACTTCAGTGATTTGCTGATCAACACAGACTCAGTGAACTTCACTGTTTCATAAAGACTCCTCTACTTCTAGTCGGTTGGTTTACTAATACGGGCGTTTCACAAGAGTGCGCCTCCAAGAGTTTGCAACGCCTTGACCAATCATAATGCGCAAAATTTCTCGACCCTTTTCAAACGCGCATTGGGTTGACAGATTTTGGGCATTGTGATTAGTCAATGCGTTGCAAACTCTCGGAGGCGCACTATTGTGAATTTCCCGAATTAATTCATGCTGAATTTCATTTTCAACTCTCGTATTCTTCTCGAGCTTATTATGATGTCTTGATATTAAAACGATGAAAGTTTTGACTGTTGCATAATAGTAATGAAGGGTTACAAGGAGAAATCTTACTAATTGTCTTTAATTAGTTACATCTTGAAAATCCCCAGAATACGTACAAAGCGAGCAACAATATGCAGAACTTAAAACATAAAAAATAGTCATGTTTTTCAATAGGCCAATAGTTACAAGTCCTGTTCGTAATTGGAACTGCAGATTTGTAACCGAGAAAGGTTCAACATTGGTTTCACTCATTTTGGAGTGATAAAACCTAAAACAAAATATTGTAAAACATCGCAAACGACAGAAATCATTTCCAGGCCACCAAAAACTCCCGGACAATTTCCAGGAAAGTTTGCAAAATTTCGGAAATGTTCAACCAGGTTGCAACTCGATATGGGGAGATTACCTGCATTATAATCAGCTGCAATTTCAATTGGCATTGAAGAGTTCTTTGTGAAAACGTTCAAGGGACCATTGCTCTTAGATGACATTAACAGTAAAACTCATTATTTCTGACAATCAAACCAAGATGTACCGAGTACGATTTTTCCATTCTTAAGTTTTCGCAACCACATTCTGTTTCTTACTGTGAATAATAGCAATGCGCTTCAAGAACAGGTCCACTGTCCTTGAGTTAGTCTCAGACCAAGACAGTTTTCTGGACAGATCGAGAAATTCCTTCGTCTAGAAATGTAGCAATGTCTCAAACTATCTACCAGTTCACTTGCAATTCTATCGCAACCTTCTCAATCATTTGTTGTTGAATAAAGTCATGGTGTATAACCTTTAATCGAAGCTTTTGTTTCGACTGCATTTACTTCAACAAATTGAAAACACGACTGTTTGATCAGTTCAATAGAATGTATAGAACCAAGGTGAACGAGTTAGGCTGGGTACATGGACACTTTGAGTATGCATGTAGCTCATATTAAGTGATACTGAGTAGCATCTGTCGTATTTCAACGAGACTTGTCCATAAGGAACTAGTTAATGTACGCCAGCTGAGCTTTCTTCACTAAGCTGTTCAACTCACTCATCGATTTTTATTTTGATTATGTTTTTGCGTAATCTGCTCTTTGAAACTCTTATTCCATTTGTGGTTATTCACGTTTACCCTGCACTACAAAACGTTACTACAGCTGTTCTCTATTTTTTCCTCAAGTAGGTTTGCCCAGACAATTCAACATGTTTGCTACCTACATTGGTGACGATTCACTCGTTTTTGTTCACATTTATATTTTCAGAGTGATTTCCATTAATAAATGTGATGCTTAAAAGTTTATATGCAAATTGTGTGATTGCACTATTAGGTTGTGCAATTTATTAATAACCTAACATTACACATAAGGACTTTCAAATTTGCTGCATCTTTCAGCTGTATTTATAGAACGCAGGAATATAGTTTCAATGAGCCGTAGCCTTTTGTATGGTGTTCTTATAGCTCACGTTGCCCTGTCGCCCCGACGCGACGCTATGACAGCTTTGTCGCGTCGTGCCGTCGCCTTCATTCTCATTACTTTTATGCTGCGTATCATGCATTACCTCATGGCGTCGCGTCGTGACGTTGTGTCCTGCCGTCGTGTAGTTGCGTCGTATCCTGCCGTCGACCTGTCGCGTCTTGCCGTCGACCTGTTGCGTTGTGGCCTTTAGCCGTCGCGACGTGTCGTCGCAGCGTGCTCTCGCTGTCGCCTCGTTACTAGTGGGAATGGGGGCGTTCTTAGAGACGGATGATACCAATAGATAACATTTTCATGATCCAATCTTGAAGGCCCTACGGGTGCACTCCACCAAATCGTTGGATTTCTGGGTGCGAGCTCATTAATATTCTGTGATCCCACGGGGCTTTTACAATAAGAAATGCCATAATCAGGAGGGATCATAGAGATATTTCTATAAATCCCGAATTTGGGACCTGTGGTTTCCAGTTCCAGGTTATTTCATCCACAAAAAGCCCCAAAATGCGGGCCTATATATTGGATAGAGGCGGGCGGCTACATTCAGAAATGAGCTCCTTACTACTATTAGGCCTATGGGGGTAAATTCACGTGGCTAACCCCCGTAAAATTGAAACGAAAAGTGATCTTCTGGCCATCATTTTGAATTTAAAGTGAAAAAACGGAGGCCACCCTCTTCCCGAGAGTCCCAGTCTGATTTTGCACTGTTTTCTATGGGCATGAATTTGGTGTAGTGCAACCCTATGCACGCACGTTAATTTTCCAATACTTGTGACATACGCCTTCAATTGGTCGTAATAATTACCAACCATTGTAGAAACAGTAAGGCACGACGGCACGATACGACGACACGACGCAACAGCACGGCGACGGTGCGAGGACACGACGCGACGGCAAGACATTAGGACGTGACGTTCTAACCCACACTGTTTTAAAACCGTACAATTACAGGCAACGCAACGCACAACGGCACAACGCGGCGCTACGACGGCAAGACGGGACGGCACGACGCGAAGGCATAAAAAAACCACGACGAGACTGCAAGACGTCACGACGCAATGCATTAAACACAGCATAAAGTAATGAGAAAGGAGGCAACACAGCAACGCAACGCAACGGAGCTGTCGTAGCGTAGTGTCGGGGCGACGGGAGGACGCGACGCAGTTTTGGCGGCTATAGAACACCATATTTGTGTGATTAATCTTACCTTTTTACAACTGTGTCTTTCGAGATTTTGCCGTTTCCCTGATACAACTGTTTTAAAGGAATAAGGTGGGTGAAGTACTGTCGCCATACAAATTTTGTTGCAAGAATAACAACATTTTGTTGAGTGAAAAAGACACTTTATTCTATGAAACAGACATGGAAATAACACAGTTGCAGGAAATACAGAGAGACTAGTCAGTAGTCAAAATGGAAGGAAAGGGAAGACTCCACCAAGTGGGCGTGCTCGACGTACCCAGCTGCATCTGTAATAAAGCGCGTAATCACTCGCTTACTATCCATCGCTTTTTCCTCAAATGAAGTGTTTTTCCCTCGTCAGAACTATCCGGCCCCCTCCAAAAAGTGCTGTTTCCTCTACAAAATTTTGTTTCCTTGACAAGTTTTTGCTTTTCCCTGAACAAATTCGTTTGCGAAAATATTGCATTTTTACCGAGTCCTGTTATAAACACAATGAAAAGTACTGTGCCAATCAGGATGGTCCACAATGCAGTGCGCCACTGTTGTCATGGATAAGCCTTGGCCGACAAAGTCTCATTCGCCAATGCGCTGTGAGCGGGAGAGTTAAAATTTTTCGGAATGTTTGTTTCTTTTGGTTCAAAATTCGAAATTGTTTATTGCGAATGGGTATCTGGTAGTCAAGCTGATTGTTTTTTTTTGGGGGGGGGGTTGTGTAGGGAACTATTCAATCACATAGGCCTAACTCCAAGTTACCAAAGTGCGCTAAATCGCGGTAGCGTGTCGACCACAAACTTGAAAAGTGACCTTTGCGGCAAAATCTTGCTAGCGCACTGTATTATGCGTCGCCTGTATTGAGACTGAAGCTCAAGAGCATGGCACGTTGGAAGCCGTGAACATATGAAAGTGCAAATTATTTTGATCGATCACAGCCTTCAAAGGCAATGTTACTCTCAATTTTCAACTTACAGATGATTTGGGCAGAAACAAAGTGGCAGATCAAATAGCAACAAAATACTTGATAGACGCAGGGGTCTTTCCAGAATTAGGACAAATACGCAACATAGCACGCTACTCAGTTGTCAGAGAATATTGCAAACACACTTTAGCCCTTGAAATGACTGGAAAAAGTATTATTTTCAGATTTTCTTTTAATTAAAATGTCAAACAACAAGTGCTTTAAAAATTGGTAAAACTTGAAATAAATAAATAAATCCGGAACAAATACAGAAAAATCAACCAAATCATAATTTCTTGCTTTAATTTTCATTATTTGAATACAAAACAAAATAGAATTTCTTGAAGTCAAAGCGTAACTCCAAAACCGGATGGAAATTAGACTTCACGGACAGACCGTTGATTTGAAAAATCATTAGAAACAAAGGACATTACTTCAACTGATGATGAGTAATTATGCAAGAGTGCTGTCTGAGGACGGAATTGTATTTCTCAAATCTAACATTTAAGCAAATGATGACCTAAAGCAGGGAGAAAGTTTGCCTGCATTAGTTAAGGCTTTTTGTAAAACGAATTTGACCTGGCAAATGTGAATAGACTGAGACGTGATCAATGGATGAATAGTTAATCTACAAAAGATACTTACAATCCAACCTCCCTGTAGGCCCATCCAACGTGATCCATTCGTCTTCATATCACAGTAGACCTGCAAGCCATTTTGATACTGCATTGGGTAGATGGTGTACACGTCGCTGGTATAGTGCCCTGCATCTAACCACTCCTGGCAGTCGGTAATATCTACAGAAAGAAACAAGTTGGAAAGAAACGTACAAGTTAAACCGTTTAATACATCTTGACCTTTGTTTTTTTGTAGTCTCATAGGATGTGCGATTTGGAACACAGCTCCACTTGTCTGGCACCTAAATCAAGATTTATCAATTTTTTTTCTTAAAAGGACAGTCCCCTCCAGCTAGCCATTGGAGTGAGGGCGAATGTTTTGTTTTATAGTCTATACCTTTTGGACTTTCCATTTTGTACTTTTCCGTAATCTTAAACCAGATTCGACCCCGAAAGCCGAAAATGGAACTCTGCTTTAGAATTTAAAAAAACAACAACAAACAGAAATTAATGTCAGCTTTAGCAACATCCGTGTATTTCATCTTTCGGTCCAATTCATTGGGATAGTTGACATGGTGTGTTGATAAACCAAATCAAAGGACAAGATGAAAGGAGTCAACTGTTTGTGAAAGATGCGGAAACAGAATATAAGTTTTCCTGACCAATTTCAGTAAAAAGCTGTTCAATTCAACACAAGGCCCATTGAAATTTGTGGTTAAAATAACGATCCTTGATATGAACATTCAGTAATCACCGAATCATTCTCCAAATTCCAAACGTAGGTTAGTTTGCTCATACTCGTCAAAGGGCTTAGAAAGATATTGATCAGGCATTTGATTTAGTCAATATGCAATTTTTTTGACATTTGAGAATTCAAATTCGTTCCAGTGATAAACGTTTTCTGAATCCTATATAAAATCTGATTTTTCCGAGCAAAAAAAATAATAACGTGGATCTTGAAACAGCTTTTGTCGTCCTCAAAGCAACAAACAAGTATAAAATATGAAATTAATTGAAACAGACAATATTGCACATAGGTAAAAATATAACAACATATGTTAAAATATTGTAACGGACTGAGCAGTAAGGACACATGGAAATGGGGTGGCCCCAGAAAGGCAGCAACTTAATCAAAAAATATAATTTACCAAAGACTGCTAAAAGTTGAACTCCACCAACCGCTGCCAGTTGATAAGAGGCAGAATGACCACACCCCGAATCAAGGCCACCGATATTTATACCCTCATACAGTCTGCCTGAGTGGTTCTCAATGAACACTATGTGAGAACTATGTTCATGTGCAACAAAAGACAGTGTCCAACCTCAGTGCACAGCTGCACCCGCCTGCAACAACCTTTGTAGACACTTGGCGCAAAACATGTCTCACCAAGAGTAGGGAGCTTGAGTACAACAATTGAATTAACTCAGTTTGGTACAAATATAAAAAGGTTATACATACTTTTACGAACAAATGAACAATAAGCGGGAAAATACAAGGTTAAAAATGACTGGATGAAGAATAAAAGAAACAGAGAAGATGAGAGAAGATTGGATGTCAGACCACCGAAGGCCAAGACCTCAAACCAAAACCCACCCATTACAATGAACGACGCAAGCAGACACCAGGCCAAGCCATGCGTACAGACAAACAGATAAGACCAGAATTGGAGAGGAGGGAAGACTACAAAGACACCCAAAATGGGGTGAAGCGAAACAATGACATGAGCAGAAATGACCAGACCGACCTGCCAGAAAACAACCAAATAGAGAGTAGGAAAGCAACTTGTTAGGAAACAAAGCGTGCTCTTTAAGTGACCCTAAAAGTCTTTTGAGGGGCATCAGTATCAAGGAATTATGAAGTTCAGCAGATAGCGAAAAGTGTTCAGCGAAATTGAATGATGAAGCTTGAAACATTACTGCCAGGAAACCGAATTGGAAAAGGGGGAAAAACAGACCAAACCGAACCGTAGCCTTCGCATGTGTTCACAAAATTTAGCGTGTTTTTGTTTTTGTTTTTGTTTTGTGTGTGTGTGTTTTTTTGTCAGAAATAAGCCGAGAAAACCTATACATTTAAAATTAAAAAGGGAAAGTAATACAATTTCACATGTCCAGATGTTGATGCATGAAATTGTTAAAGCGCTAAATGGATGTGTAGATATGTCATTCGGATATTCCCTCTCCAGGCTCTTTGTTTATACGGGCACATGGACCATTCCCAGTGAAAACACTCCTAAAACGTCGATGTGAGTTAATATGCGCTTCATTTATTCTGCGTGAGTAATGTTCACATGCGATTCCTTTATTTCGCGTGAGTAGTGTGAACCCTTTCAGCGCCAGTCGCTTTTTGTGCTATCCCCTTTCAATACCAACGCACAAAAAGACAAACTACCAGCTCAATACCTCAACCTAATAATGGTACGGTCAATATGCTTGCATACTGCCCTCAATAGATTGTATGGGCATAACGTGGCTTTGAAATGCAATGAGTGATAAACCAATATTGACAAAGCAGACTACTTGTTGAGACCAACCTAACACCTAACACTTAGTTAAAATGTGAATATTCTTAGTGGTTATCACGAGCAGAAAAAAAAAACGTAAATAGTAAACTCCAGGATGATATAAGAGGTGTATATCAACACAACAGACGCAATACGGTCGTTTCACAATAGTGCGCCTCCTAGAGTTTGGAACGCGTTGGCCAATCACAACGCACAAAATTTGTTGTGGTTGGCCAAGGCGTTGCAAACCCTTCGAGGCGCTCCCCCCCCCGTTTCAATGTTGAGAGACAATCAGCATCATGCTGGCCTGTTTCTACCTTAACATTGAAGGGAGGGGATGGGATTTCTTGTCAACTGGAAGAAACANCATTTCTTTCCATTAAACTATTTACGGTGCATTTCCACTGTTCACGGGTTGCAGTTGACCCAAAGCCATCAAATCAAGTGGGTCTTAGCCGCATTATTTATGTTTTTACGGACTTGTAGTTTTATACCGGAATTACTTAAAAACGCCTGCCGTTTTCCCAGATTTAGTAAATGTGGCTCGAAATAAGTAACTTGAATTGAACAGGAATGCGATTCATCAGTGTTTGGAGCAGTCCTTCTAGACTCAATACAATTCTACCACTTTTATTCGAATCTTCCAGCGGTAATACTCATCATAACGCCTATGAAAACGGTCTTTGGCTTCAAGCTGGCGCGACCGCTACCCCTGTAAATCAACCTACATGTATTTACTATTCGATACCCTTTATAACTACGGAAGCGTATAAGGGCCACTTGCAAAATTTTATTTTCGAGTTACTATCTCGCCGCGGCGGGTTAAATTGTTGAATGTGTATCTCGCCGCGGCGAATTATAAGATCTTGCCACAGCGTTAAATTGATATCCTGCCGCAGCGAATAGTTCATTAGTTGCATAAGTCCTATTCAGCGCGCCGTTTTCAAATGTATCTTTAGGGTGAAATGCAATGCTATGTGGTTTTAGATTGCTAATTAGAACAAAAGGAGATGTTACATTTCAACCGCAAAGATTGATTTCCAACACAAAAGAAAACAAAAGAAATTTCATTTTGTCGTGTGAATTTCCATATTCAGATGAGGGGTAGACTGTCTTTAATTCCTTCCTACATTTTGCCAAACCAACGCAAGCAGACTTGAAAGCTACATTTGAACTTCATTGGTCAAAATTTATTCAATTATAGTGCTTAAAATGGAGAGCAAAACCACTTTTACTAACGAAACGCATGAAATACTGAACAGCTCTGGATGCTCAAAGGATTTAGGGTTACTTTTAATAGTGCCCTAATCTCCAAATATAGTATAAGTGCACATGTGTCATGCGCACGGGGTCGGAAGTGTCGACCCGTGTTCAGATGTAAAAATAAACTACATCCAATAAGTTCTCGACAAACAATGTTTTGCCCTTCCCGCCGCCCTGCGCTGTGTGCTGTGTGAGTGGTTCGTGACAAGTGAACGCATGGATTTGAGGTCAAAGAGCCTAGGGATTTCAATCCAGTTGATGAAACATCGTGTTTCTATTCACCTTCACTTCACATTTCTTTTTGCTTGTTGAAATTTCCGAAATCATAGCAGATTTTATCGTTAATGATGTCAACATCGACGTTTGCTCCGAAATGGTAACAAATATTGGACAAAAATATGCATTGGCGTCGCAAGAATTTTTTTTTTTTGCAGGGCGGATGCCGCAAACCATCAAGTTAAAACNTTTATACATTAATACTGCAAGAGGGTTTTAACAAAATAAAAGAGAATTTTGTACTGTAAAAAAATTACAAAGCCCTTAAAAGGTCCTCCACATTGAGCCCCACCCTGTCGAAAAGGCCATGAAGGTTTTAGCAGCTCGAGACCACGGCAACACGGAGAATTCCATTCTTCACTTTGGTATGATTCTACCTCTGATATAAACTTTCTGTCCGTTTTTACGAAGAGACGTACACGTAGATTTCGAAGAAATACAGTTCCAGCATTGTCACAACTCTCCCAGGATTCAAGTAATAAATTTTGGGAATTAGTTATTCCTCCTGCAACTTCGTGGACACTTCAATAATTTATGTTCAAATTCTTTCTCAAGCTACCGTATTTACGTAATATTTGATATGTACAATTTCTTCTTGAATAATCACAGATAGTGTTTAATATTTACAAGATTAGGCCTATATACAATTATTTACACAATGACCAACGTTAATTTAGAATAAATTACTTCGAAGTGGTTAAGTTTCACTGGCTGATTTAATTAAGAAAACAAATTGGTCTTTAGACCGTTATAATCTATTTATTATATTATTATATCCAAATCGGACCGAGTCACTAATCTAGTTATTCAATCGTTCAAATCATATCTCAACCCGAAGTAATATTCTTACCCTGGAAACTAATAAAATAATAATATAAAGGTCTCTTATTGGAATGTATAAGAAGCAAAGAAAGCAATCCTAATCTACGAGAAATTTATGAATGAATAAACCATAGTAATTAGTGAATGGATATACGGTAAATAATTCTAATCTAGCCGGCAAAATAAAATACAAATGGGTCCATCGTTGTCGTTGCTAAAGGCAGTTTCCGTTTAGTTTTGAGTGCTTGTGGTGAGGGCCTCCCTCTTGACTGTTCAGATGTCCCTATAACGCTACCTCCAGATAAGTAGGCTAGAATCAGGGCACTGTCACCCAACAACCAGAAGTTCTTGTCTGGGCTGTTTCTCTTCACGGGCCTGTCTGCCTCGCAAAATGGACAGTGCTTCCACAAGGCCTTGAAAGGTAGGGACAACTCGGCCCAGCACGGCCTCTATCTAAGCAAAGTTCCCATCTGTAATTTTCGCAGCAAACAATAAGGATATATACACCCTATAAATAGCCACTTCTTCAAGGGGTTTGATCGCCTGCCTTC